TTCTCTTCTCCTTTTAGAAAAATATTTTGTTTGTGTGCACCACCTATGCAATGCTGAGTAAAGCAGGTAGCTAATTTTATCAATCAAATAATAAACATCAATAAATCTGATAGTGCAAAATAAGCTAACCTGCTGATATTACAGGGCATCAAGGCAGTACAGCTAAATTTGTCTTTGTATAACTATGAATGAATTAAAAGAATAAGGTGTGTATCTACTGTTTATTATTTACTAATAGGCCTGTGTATATTAAAATTTATTAAAACACATTCATAAATATGTCTTTTGTTTTGTTATTGATTCCATTTCTTAAACTCAATGAAATTCCTATTTCCAAATTTTGCCTCCATACATTCTAAACCAGAAGTGAACAAACATTTTAACCAGAAGCTAAAAAAAATAGTCTTTTTTAATTTAACATACTATCACAAAGCATGATGCTGCTTGTGTTATGATCTTTTTCTGTGTTCCGATTGTTTGTCAGGGTGTGATGAAGAAGAAGACGAAGAGCCCTTCTTAGTGGATAGCATTTTATGTATTAAATTTTCTATTTTTACTGTAAATAAGGCCCATACAATAAGCACGGAGTCACAACACTGCACGAGAATCACCAAGTGAAATACAAAATAACCATGTAAATTTCAAAGAATATGAAGCCTCCCCCCCCTAAAAGGGGCAAGAAAGCCCACTGTGCACATACTGATATTTACAACTTGCTACTATTACTATCACTATGGTCTCCACCAAGCAAATACAGTCAGTCTAACAACGAATGAATAGTAGCTTTTTCTTCCACCTTATCTTTATGCAATAACCATTGGTGAATGTCCAATTTCTTCATAGTGCATCAAGTTTGACTAGAAACTTTTTTTGGGGGGGAGAGGGGCTGGGCATCTGAAAGAATTCAATTTGAGCAGATTGCTCCATCTGCTTTTCATTCTTAACCCATTAACCGCTGGTGTTGCATTGACGCAACGGTCAAAATAAATGCGTATATAAATATAACTACCTAAGATATTTTATAGCAGCAGATAATTTTGTGTAGGGAATATTATGAAGATTATTTCTGTAAAAAAATATTTGCCTTCAACAATCATTTTGTTTATAATAATTAATCTCATACTTTAAGCAAAATTTAAGCAAAATTTTCGACTGGGTATTTTTGCTGAAAATGTTTAACAAAAGAATTGCGGTCTTTATGAGTGATCTATTTTTAGTCAAGGTCATCGTTTATCAGAACATTACATCAGTCAGATGTTTAGATTTGTGTTGTGAAGCAAGGGAAAACAGGTGTTGCGCTGACGCAACGTCAGCGTCAGCAGGAAACGGGTAGTCAATCTCCTGCTTCACTCATTCCTTTTGATGTTCTGGTTGTTTAAAAATGCCTAGAACTAGGTATATTACATTAGAAGAAGCCCTTCAAAGATTTTTTGATGAAGAAATAGATGATGATAATGTTAATAATGACCAGAATGAAACTGATATTGTTGTTGTCCCCCCAGAAATTGCAGAGGCTTAGTGACGAAGAAGAAAGGAATGGCAATGTTTTAAATAATGATAATGATATTTTACCAAATGACACTGCTGGGGAAGTTGAAATTCACGTAAGAAGTAAGTTTCAGCCTTCTAAAAGCAGTTATAGTCATACTAAAAAGTTTAAAAAGCAGAAGACTGAAATCTTGAAGTGGATAAAAAAGGAACTGTTAGTTATGTCTCAGGAAGAACATGAAGAAAGAGATAGAAGATAAATTATAAAAGACAAAATACAAGGTAAAACTAGTTCACAGATTTTCGTTTTGGTATAGACATTTAATCTCTTCTTGTTGAACGAACAAATATATACGCTCAGCAAAAAAAAAAAAAAAAAAAAAAAAAAAAAAAAAAAAAACCCAGAATTTATTGCATCTGAAGCCTATATGGAAAGATTTATTGGACTATTATTGCTTACAGGATATCATTCTTTACCTCAACAAAAAATGTACTGGTCTTTTGATAAGGACATTTCTGTTCCTGTTGTACGAGAATCGATATCACGTTTACAGTACAGGAATATGAAGCAGAATTTGCATTTGACAAGTCAAATTGACAATACTGATAAATTATATGAGGTGAGACCGTATCTAAGCTTACTAAATATCACCACTTTTTACTATTGGAAATATAAAGTCTCTTTTAGATTTCAGACGCGAAAATGCATTATTCCTTTTGCAAACTCCTACTGAGAGTGTAGAATCAGCCAGAAATAGATCAGAAACAGGAAGACCTAGTAAATTCAGCATTCAAAAACCACTGCATGGAGATGGTAGACATTTTATCGTTAAGTCCGTTGATAACAAAAGACTTTGTTGTAAAGAGTACCATAGCCAGACTGTTCATAGATGCAAAGTATGTAATGTAGCTTTATATCATGATTGTAATCAAGCTTTTCATGCTTGAATCTTTCAATTGAAATAATCTGTATTTGTAAAAGAAATACAATGTATATTTTAATATTAAATTAATTACAAATAAAGTGATTTGTAGATTTATAAAATGTTATACAGCTAAAAAGTAATCCTGCGCTCCACTCAAAAGAAACATCACATGAGTACTATCCTACTCACTAAACATCCGTAGTCTTATTCCGCTGACGTTGCGCGAACGCTACACTCACGTTTTCCACAGGTAAGAGCATTTTTTTATTATTTTCAATGTAAATTTATGTTATAAATGCTTAATTTAACATTTGTTATTATTTTCATGAGAAAAGAAACATTCCTTGTAGTTTTGGCGGTTAATGGGTTAAGGTAGGGCATAATTATTATTTTATTACTTTTATTAGAGAATTAGGGAGTGTGATTTGGTTATTGGCAATTTGCAGTTTTGCCACATATAACAAAACTGGGGTTTGTTCCTACCAGTCATCAAAATCATTGACATATATACTGTTTCCTTTTTAAATTAAAATTTGGGGCTGAAAGGTTCTTTCCCTAAGCTTTCTTTTCTGAATAGTCTTTTTACCTCAACAAATATTCATATTTCATTGTTCAATTTCTAAATTAACCGTTTGCCTGATTATCCCGAGTTATCCCAGGTTCGTATATATTGCAGTTAATTATTATCCCGAGAAAACTCGGGCAAAGCAGAATTTGTCAGTACGATTTGTTTTATCATGGTTTCACTCAGCTTAGAGGAAATGAAAGGAAATATTCAGCTTTTATTGGCAATTCGCCAAGTTTTGATGGTTTCGCGGTTCTTTTGGCAGGACTAGTCACGTGTTTTCCCTATTGTCTAGTATACGTCGGCTTGTGGATTAGTAATGTATAAAGAATGATAGTTGTGTTGAAAAAAAGTAAAATAATTGCGATGATGCAAGATAGCGAAAGCGATGATTTTTCAGATAGTGATTATAACCTCAAGGCATTTTCCAGATGTTATTCCTGCTACTGAAAAAAAAATCAAATCCAATGAGACAGTGTCCTCTGCGCTTCCGCAAACGAGATTCCAAAGGTAAGCCAGTAAGAAAAGAGACCAGATACCAGTGTATAGAATGTTAGATATCACTTTGTGTTGTCCCTTGTTTAAAAAACTCTCACACAACGACTAATATATATATTTTTTTTTTATTTGCCCAAGGTAACTCGGGATAGTAAACTAATATAAAAACTAAATGCTTTTAAACCTGTAAAAAATTAAAAATTCAACTTAAAACCTATATATTTTGTTTTGTTCGTTTCCTAGTATTTAATAATAAAATAAAAAAATGTGATGATTTTTTGCAATTTTTTTCAAAAATATGTGTAAGGGAAGCGGTTAAAGCTGTCAGAAATGGCAGAACTACATTCTTCGGCAGATGTACATGCATTCCATTCTAGTTTGTCAAGTGTTCTCAGTTTATGTTAACCACTAGAACAGCGACACACCATATATGACACAGCAATATGACAGTGTGTATACACTGCAAAAACAGATGTGAACCCGTGCTGCTGATTTTGGTAGTTTGCGTACAAAATTCGATAGAAAAGACATAAAAATGTCATTGCACAGGATTTCATAATGGACCGGATTGACGGGGGGGGGGGGGGGGGGGAAACAGCCATATCTGGCCCACAGGTCAGCTTTTGCCCATCCCCGATTGAGTCTGCGTAAAACCAGCCTTTGTGTGTGTGAAGAATGCAACTAGGTGTACACACTAAGGAATTATACTCAATATATGAGAGCTGGTTGCTAGCTGATATTTAATGTTGTGTTTATGCAAGTGAAAACTCAGTCTTTTACCAACTTTTAATAAAGCCACATCATTCTTTTGCGTATACATATAATATATATATAATGTGAAATTCATTTGAACCGTACAAATCCCAAAATATTTGATAATACAAGTTGTCAAGATATAACGTGCAAAAAACAGAAGGCAAACAAAATTTAGTTAGATTATTAGATTAGAAAATTAAATAAACCTAAATTAGAAATTAGAGAAAAAGTAGAAACTGAAGGGCAAACAAAATTTAAACATTACAACAATACTTATTTAAAATAAACTACATATCATTCATAACAATGGTTCACAACTCTCTTCCACCCCATGCATCCCTTTCAACAATGTTGGAGAATCATTTTCCAAAACTTGAAAATTACATCTATATTTATTTAAGCTATTTAATATGTTGAATGTTGAATAAAGAAAATGTTGATAAATACTAAAACTTGAATAAAAGTAAATTTTATATTCATAAACTAAAACTAAATACTTAAGAATTAAATATAAGACTGGCTGCATTCCCCTCCTCAACACTATGACATCTCCTCAGGGGCAATGCCCCCTTTTGGTTCAGAATCCCTTAAAACATGTTGTATACAAACTTAAAAATAAACTATACAACTACATAAAACATGATAAAGCCAAAAAACTGTATTATAATGTTGAATTTCTGTATAAATCAAAAATTAATACAAATAAATTCTGAAAATTATAGGTTATATTATAATGTAAAATAAATTAAAAATAACTAAAAACTTACCAAGTAACATGAAAATACTGCTTGCAGCCAGATTTATTACACTGCATACAAGCTCCAACACTAGCTTTCGATTCTTTACCTTGCTCCTCACAAATATAACACAACTAAAAAGTAAAGTACAGAAAATAAATAATGCATAGTAAAATTATAAGCACAGATGCAAATTTGCCACATACCACCTTCAAGAACACTACCATACATTGGTGCCCAAAAGTCATGTGTCAGATACAAGGGGATAAGACTTGCATCTATTTCTAATGCTTGTTAATAAGATATGCAAAACATCAAACTCCATGTTTAACATGAGAAGCAGGAGTTCCAGAATCACACTTAACCCTCTAAGTGGCCGAACCGTATACATACATCCAACCAAAATCGTGCTCTAAGCGGTCGACAAGCATATATATGTCCAAGCAAAATCCTCTTCTAAGAGCACAGCAAGCATATATATGACAACCAAAATCTCAGTCTAAGCAGGCAGCAAGCATATATACACTCGCGTTAGGTTTTCTTTTCCCCAGCAATTTCGACAAGAGCGATTGCACTAATAGGCCCTTTGCTGAGGAGAGTTTTGCTTTTCTAAAATTTCACTTGTTATTTTGGGGATGCTGAACATAACTGCTGTGCTGCCAAAAATCTATCTATGCTTTGTTCATATTTTTAATACTGCTACTGAATTAGACAAGAAAGCGGAAATACTTTCAACATGTACTGAAGATAAAAATGAAATTTATGTCTTCATATAATATCTGATATGGAGAATAAAAATAATTGATCAATAAGACTTTAGCCGCTCTTCACTTAAAAATCTGGTTTGACAGTTTGAAGCCAATACATGCGGAAATACTTTCAACATGTACTGAAGATAAAAATGAAATTTATGTCTTCATATAATATCTGATATGGAGAATAAAAATAATTGATCAATAAGACTTTAGCCGCTCTTCACTTAAAAATCTGGTTTGACAGTTTGAAGCCAATACATGCGGAAATACTTTCAACATGTACTGAAGATAAAAATGAAATTTATGTCTTCATATAATATCTGATATGGAGAATAAAAATAATTGATCAATAAGACTTTAGCCGCTCTTCACTTAAAAATCTGGTTTGACAGTTTGAAGCCAATACATACATCCAAGGTACTTATTCAAAGTTCTCTCTCTCTTTTTTTTTTTTTTTTTTTTTTTTTTAAATTTTAGAATCGAATAACCGCAACACAGTAAAATGAACAGAATCATTAAAATAAATTTCAAAATTTTAATGATTTAATGCACCATAACATTTAATGGAGATTTGTTTTAATCGAAGCATATCAGTATTGTATTGAAAGTTACATATGCAATAAATGTTTAAATGACAGACTTTTAACAACATAAAATTGATATTAGTATATATTTTTTAGATTTTTACCTCATTTGTTTTAGTGTTTTGGATGTCCACTTGTGGGTGTATTCATCCATTAAAAGACAAGTATGCACTCAAAGCATAACAATTTAAAAAGGTAGATGAATAAAGAGTTTAATTTATACATATTAACTGTGACATTCGATTATAATAATAAAATGATTTTACTGTCCGTGGTGTGTATGCTTGTTACCTTTAAGATGCACTGCACTTTTCCTTCATGTGTCAAATAAATTAGCCGCATATTGATAACAACTTCAAAACTTTTCTCTGTCTTCTGCAGGCAATTCTTCGATATTTGAAAATCTGCCCCAAAATATCTATACTCAAGCCATCAAAACTACTTTTCTAACATTCCCTCTAAGTAGGTGAACATGCTTCATAAATCATAATTCTGAGTGTATATATTTCACTGTTACCTTTGTTTTTAATACTTATCAAATGACTGCTATTAGAAAATTGTTATGCTTTATTCAAAATCACAGAACAGAATAAATGCATGCCAATAATAAATGCTATTTATTAAGCTTCAAGAATCCATGATTCAATAAGCAGCAACAAGTCGAACATTAACAGAAGAGAAACATAAAATTAACAAAGCAACAACCTTCTGTTTGGCTTAGATTTAGAACGAGGTCGATTTTGAGGGCAAACAGGTACACGTCCCACTACATTCACAAATTTCTTTGCTTCTGATGAAGAGAGACCTGTATCTGTTTGTCTTCGAAATCAATTTAATTCTTGACTGAATCTACACTAAACACAAGGCTGTTGCTTTGCTAATTTTTTGTCAAACAGAATTAATTATGGTTTTACCATACAGTTGTGTTAAAATGTAAAAAAAAAAAAAAAAAAAATTGAATTCTCATAAATTCAATTTATAGGTATTGGGTGTGCTAGGATCATATCTCTAAATAGCCATTTACATTTACAAAATTTCATATTTAATAAGAGCATTTAATTAAACTGGCATTACAGCACGATTTATTGACATTGTCTGCAATTCCATTATGATGAAATGCAATTCTGTACAACGTTATGTTGAAAATGTGAAATATAGTCTTTTAAAAATAAAAATTAAATCAGTTCCAAGCTATTTCTGAAGAATGATTGAATGTAATGTAAATAACAAAATTATTTTACTGCATTAGATCCATAAATAACTTCAGATATTAAGTGAATTCCCCTTTTTTCATTATATAAAATAAAAATAATGATTACAACTAAAATAAAAAAAGCACTTAAAGTCTAAATTTTACATCTTTAATGATAGTTTTTAAAGCAATAATGTACACTTTTGGGGTAGAAAGTCATTATATTTAAATTTAATGCACAGTGGTTAGGAAAACAAAACTGCAATTATTTCATGGATGGTTGGTTAACTGTACAAAGCAAAGTATTCAAAGCTTATTTTCCTCAATGGCGAGGGTTTTCTAAGAGAAACTGGCTTGTATTTACATATGAAAAACACGATGTCTCATGCAATCAGTTATTTCGCTGAGATTTGATCTTAATGTCGAACTACTTGTTTTCAGTCGTCTTATGGCCAGTAGCGAGGTCTTTTCTTGGATGTGAAATAGCATTGCAAGTAAATTCATGGTAATCATGAACTCCGTGTGTGCAATTTTCCCTCAATCAATCGAGTATTTTCAATTATTAAATATCCATTCATTATATATATCGTTTCTATAGTAAGGTTTTTGTTTTCCTCTCACTTATCCAAAAAGAAAACTAAAAAAGTACATCATTAGAAAGTTTCCATTCCTGAAGTATATTTACCAAATTCCATTAAATCATCTGCCTATAGTTAAAATTTTTAAAATTAAATAGCAGATTTATATTCATTTGATTTTTACATGTTACTGCTTATTTTGACTTTTCTGTTTATTTTTTGACTGGGCCAAATTCTGAAATAAATTTCTGACTTGCATTGTCAATTTCAATCGCTTCTGCAATGATAATAAAATATTGCATCAAATACGAGTTTTCCCGTTTCATATTTGTATTCTGACAAAAAATTCAGTGTGGGTTCATAAGCAAAGGGCTTAATGAACAAAGTTAAAATTTTTGTCCATTTTTCTTAACGGCATTATAAGACTGAATGGGAAATAGAAGCAAAGGGACTGAAACACATAGAGGTGTTTAAAATTCCAAAACGAACAAATGTGTGGGAAATTAAAAGTTGGGAAATAAAACATATTAAAAATTCTTTTTAATCACTCTGTTTTTAGAAAATAAAAAATAACGACAAAATTTAATTGGAGGCCTCCATTTAAAATGTCGCTAGTGGGTTATCAATTTAGGGTATTTAGATATGAGAAAGAACACGACGGCTGTCGTCAGGGAAGGAATGTTTTCGTCAATGACTTGCTAAGCGAAACTAGATCGTATTCACATTACACAAGCAGAAAGCCACAAAAAGCTCCATATGGCCAGGCTGTTCTTCTAGACTAGATCGAACTACCAATATTCAGCTGTCGACCACAAGTGGGGCCCCTACTCCACAGATCATGTAATTTAGAGTAACAAAACATTTTTGTCATTGCTGATTGTTTGCTTGATTGGATTTGATTATGGCAAAACACGGGAAGGTTACCTAACTAAGGGAAGGGATGCCTTCATGGAGTACATTTTAAAGAAAATTAACTCCCATTCATTATACAATTGGAAAAATTGCTTCCCTTGTTGAATTAAATTTTTTATCTGCAGCTATCTTGAGTAGGGAGACGAAATTAAATAATAAAAGAATTTACATAAAGTTCAAAATATGTACGTTAAAGTATATGTGTTTTAATTATGACTTTCATATGTTCAGAAATGTTCGGATAATTGAAGAATTATTTTTTGCTTTTCAATGCATTCTGATAAAATGTCGCATATTAAAAATTTTATATATATATACATATGTATGCATGTGTATATAATTTTCACATAGAGCTGATTTCGAGTATCATATTTTTTAATTTTCAATATAAAAATTCGCATAGATTTTGAATAAACATTTTTCAATTTGAAGAGCAAACTGGCATAAGTCCTTCTTCTTCAGGCAGTAAACAGATTTACTACAATTTGCCTGCTCAAGATTGCTCTAGAAATCGATAGAGTATTATATTTTCACGTATTTTCCCCTCTACCTTTTTAGCTGCAAGCTCCGTAAATTAGAAAATATTACTGTAATTTTTCCCTTCCTCAATGCGTTCAGAGGACGCAGTCCTCTAAATTTTAAATTGGATTCGTCCACGTCGTGATTGTTTTCATCTTATTGACAAAAACAAATCCCTGCAAACTACCTGTGAAGGTAACGCCGAACCTTTCCCTTCTAACTCTTGAAATTTATGCCTAATACAAGAACCGACGAATAACAGCGAAGTAAACCCGAACTGACATTCACTCTATGATTTATCTAAGTCAGCTACACATTCCTCTTCTCTAATTATTTACGGATGTCTTGGAGCCTAGGAGTAGCAGAGACAACTTTAAAGAACGGGAAAGCATCAGCTTTAACACTGTACAGAGAAAAAAATCATTTCTTATTTAATGTCATATAATTTTATCTAACACGATTCAAGACACACTTATTTCAAGGCATTTTAATTTAATTCTGAAACTATATTTCCGTTCAAGAATGTGTTCCTAGTTATAACAAAAAACACATTTTTATAGGAAAATTTTTCGAAACAGTTTTAACTTACAAAAT